TCATATCTGTGATACGGTTACAAATATTAAGATCTTCTCTCCTGATATAATTTTTAGATAATGTTATTCCCAAATATTTCACCTCAGGTACCACTCTAATAGAGTCAATAGTGGAATCATCACATGAATGGATAGGGAGTAATTCACATTTTGAAAGATTAAGAGATAACCCTGATGCTTTTGAAAAAATTGAAATTGTGTTAAGAGTTTCCTTTACCATAGATTTATTCTTTAGGAAAATGGATGTGTCATCCGCAAATTGACTAATTTTGAACTCTTTGTCAAAGAGGGTAATGCCTAATATTTTGTGATTCTTTATAATAAGCGTTGTTAATACTTGGGTGGTCAGAATAAATAATTTGGGGGAAATAGGGCAACCCTGTCGAATACCACGTAAAACCTTAAACCTAGGGCTCATTCCAGGGTTCAAAGATACAGAACTATAAATGTCCGAGTAGAGCATCCTAATTATGTTGCAGAAATGTTCACCAAAACCCAGAAATGTCAGAGTTTCCATTAAAAAGGAATGTTCAACAGTATCAAAAGCCTTGTAAAAATCCAGAAATAGTACGAGACCTTCAGTATCAATAAACTCCTGGTAATCAAGCATATCCAATATCAGTCTGGTATGGTTATGAATACTTCTGCCCTTTATAAAGGCTGATTGACATTCATCTATTAGTTGATTCAGACCCGAGTTTAACCTGTTAGCATAAACATGTGCTAAAAGTTTGTAATCATTACATAACAGGGTAATAGGTCTCCAATTATCCAACAAAAGATTATTTTTATTTGGTTTTGGAATTAAGGTAATAAGGCCATGTTTCATGGTTGGCGAAAGGTTTCCTGCTGAAATGCAATCTGTGAACGCCTTATAAAGCATTTCTCGCACATCTGACCAAAAACATTTATAAAACTCTATGGTTAAACCATCCAGCCCTGGTGATTTGCCACCAGACATTTGCAGTAATGCACTATCTAATTCTTCAATTTTTAGTCCATCGTCCATATACTGTTTAAAAGAATAATCTATTGTCTTTTTGAATTCTGTAATTTTACTAAAAAAGTTATCACAATTTTCTTTAGAAAACTTTGAGTTATATAAATTGCTATAAAAAAGTCTAATTTCTTCATTTATCTGGTCTTGATTTTCAATAGTGACATCATTAATAATCAGTTTTTGGATTTTCTTTTTCACTTGTCTTTGCTTTTCAAGATTGAAGAAATAAGAAGTGTTTTTCTCTCCTTGCTCAATCCATCGGGCTCTCGAACGAATAAAAGCTCCCTTTGCTTTTTCCAAATACATGTTGTCTAATTGAGTTTGTAAATTGTTCAGTTGAATTTGCTCATCCAATGATAACTCAGCTTTAAGGCATAAATTATTAATTGCACTTGTCATCTCTTGTTGTTTTTGTTTCTTTAATCTAGAAGAGTATTTACAGGATTTTATCGCAATCTGTCTCACACTAAATTTAAACCATTCCCATTTACTGAGAGATGACATATCCAAAGCCAGAGTTTCTTTTATCAGTTGTTTGATCTCTCTACAAAAATCTGCATTCTCCAAAAGACTATTATTGAATTTCCATATAGGGTTAAGATTGGGACTGAAGTTGCATAGTAAAAAGGACAAAGAGATGACACAGTGATCCGTCAGAGGTGATGCTGAAATGTCACACTTTGAGACATTATTAGTTAAACTAGTAGAGATTAACCAATAATCGAGCCTAGAGCACTGACCATTGTTAGAAGAGTTAAACCAGGTATATTGTGATTTTGAGGGATTATTTATTCTCCAAACATCAGTTAAATTAAGTTTAGAGGCCAAGTGAATAATAGAATCATTAAAATTATGACATTGTCCCCTTAAAGGAAGACGATCTAACCACTCATCAGGAACTACATTAAAATCCCCTCCGATTATAATCTTATCAGTCATATAAAGTGCTTTCCATTCCTCTAATTTTTGGCACAAGATTGAAAGAAAATTATTGTTTTGAATCTTTCTGTTATACCCATAAACACACACCAGTATGTAATTAGACCCATTAACATCAGTCACAACCATTAGCCAATGACCGTTTGTATCACTCCTGTGGTCAATTATATTTCCAGGTAACCTGTTAAATAAAATCATCACTCCAGCCGAATGTGTTGTTCCATGGCTGAAAAAAAATGTTGTCTCCCCATTGTACTTTCCAGAACTTAGTGTCTGCCTCTGCAGAATGAGTTTCTTGCAGAAAAACACAATTTGTTTTTTGTTCCTTACAAAAAAGAAAAATTGCCTTACGTTTCACATTGTTTTTTAGCCCCCTAGCATTTAAGGATATGAAAGATAACATTGAAAGAGCAAAGATAGAATCTTTAAGAAAATGCGCAAAGGAATGTTATATCGATGCGCAGGAGTGAGTAACGTAATTGACGTGCTTGATGTGAACGAGCATTTTGGGGAGCGTGGTTAAAGTTGCGCATGCGCTATGAGCGCACATACGGGTACTTCTCAGGCATGACGGGTAATCTGTGACGTTTCGCTCTCTCAAAAGTTGGGCCATTTTATCATCATGCGCCAATGAGCAACTCTCATAGGAATGAATGAGGCCCCGCCTCCCACGCTGTATCCAGTTCTTATTATACATCCATGGTTGTGCTTTGAGATCGTTTGAGATGCTGACATCTTGCACATGTGCCTTGTGGAAGTTAATAAATGAACGTTTTCTACACCTATAATACCCTTGCGGTCTGAGTGGTGTAACATCTGCACAGCAGTTACAATGGTCAAACTACATTGAATTGTCCCCATTTTTTCTTTAATAGTTACTAACTAGGGCCCAATCCCAAACCACTCCCTCGACCCTACCCCTCCGTGACGGAGTGAACTCCGTCTGTAGCCACACTCGCAGCTGAATGAGGCTCCCTCCTGTCAGATGGAGGGAGTAAATACAGCGGCAAGCTTTGGGACAAACTCCCCTCTCTCCGGCAGAAACAGGAAATGCCGTAACTGTATGTAACAACGGTTTCAAATCAGCATCTCTTAGACAAAAAAATGTAAATTAATAACTCAAATAAAACTCCAAACATCTTTCATTGTGTTACTTATTTGTAAAGCTCTTTTAGTTTTAAACCTGATGTTTATAAGGTTCTTAGTTTTTGCAACAGTCTGTAAATATACACAACTTTATAATAAAATGCACACATTTACCTTTTTCTAGACTAAACACAGGTATGATCCTAAGTTAAAAGAATATGAGGTTATCATGAGGTTGTTAACATCGCAATTTATCAGTGGATGTTTGCTGGAACTACTTGTAAACAGCGTGTTTCCTGACGGACACACACAGCGTTGAGACCGGTCAGGTAGGGCAGCAGGTGAAGTCAGCACCGATGCAGACTCGCTGTTTGAGGGCTTGATAGCCCACTCCCCCTCCACACCGCTCCACACTCGTTGGTTTGGAACAGCACTTAATGTGGCGGACCCTCCGCGCGAACGCGCAAACGGAGGGGTAGTGTGTAGGGGGCGGTTTGGGATTGGGCCTAGATCTAGTTAGGTGCGCGTTCACATGAAAGGGGTGGTATTTGGAGCATTCGACCAATCACAAATATGGACAAGCGTACTGACAGCGCAGCACGTCATACTTCCTGAATGAAAAGTCAACTATAATATTAGACAAATATGAAGATGTTAAACTTTAAACATCCATGACTTAAACACTTTATCCAGGATAAAAGCCACATAGTTGCACCTGCAACGACGGCCGGCCAAAATCACTGACTGTGTGAACGTGAAAATGAATAGAATATCACCTCCCATCTTCAGAGCAATCTGACTATTATAACATTAGCGTTAAGAAAGCTTAATTAAATATCTGCCACAACATAAGTAAGCGGATCAAAGTAACATTACGTAGCCTACAGTCCGCGGCACTGTGAGTGCAGACGTCGATGTGTCCCATTATCATTCATATCACATGATATCACATCATAATGTATCATATATTTCCTTATCTGAGTCAGCTTCTTGAGCCGTATCTGGCCGTGCAACACTCACAGTGTCACATACTGTATGCAGAAGTATTAATTAAGCAACACATTAAGTTGACGAAACACTCGAGTCAAATGTAATTAAAGTCAGATCCACTAGTGTATTAGACGGGGCAGTGATTTCATAAACCTGTTGATGTACGCATTCAAACACTTTTTCTTTTACCAGCTGTATTCACCTTGCAGGTTCAGCTATGTGGCTTTTATCCTGGATAAAGTGTTTAAGTCATGGATGTTTAAAGTTTAACGTCTTCATATTTGTCTAATATTATAGTTGACTTTTCATTCAGGAAGTATGACGCGCTGCGCTGTCAGTACGCGGCTTGTCCATGTTTGTGATTGGTCGATCGCTCCAAATACCACCCCTTTTATGTGAACGCGCACCTAACTAGATCGAGTTGATAACCCGCGTCGTAGGACAGTTTAGCGAGAGTGCGTTTGTTTTGGATTAGGTCAACCGGCTAACTCAAACATATACAGGATATGTTTAACTAGATTTGTAGTACAGGCCTCAGGTTAGCCGCTCAGCATTTAGTTACCATGGAGATTTAGCCCGCTAAAAAGAGAACCAGCGCCGTAGGACTGGAAACCCAGAGTTTTCCCTGAAGTTAGCCCGCTAAGCGAAAATCCGGCTTCGTAGTACAGGCCTCTGATGCACATGTCCAGATCTGTGTGTGTTGTATTCTAAGTTAGCTCGGCTGAGCAAAAGGGTGCACCTGCAGTGCATAGGAAAATAAACCATGTCTCAATGATTTTGATGTCAGGTACTTTGCTTTTTGAGCTGAAAAGTGCTGTAAAAGTCAACTTACCTTGAACAAATAGTCCATTGTGTAAATGTAAAAATTAAAGCAGGGGTCACAAAGAAAAGTACAGAGGGTTTAACAAATACAAATATTCCTCTTTATTTAATTTCTGACTGTCTAGAAACTGTAGTGTAAAACATCCATATGCAATAACAAAAATACTATTCAAAATCTTAAACTTTATTTAAGTTTCAGGGGGCGTTTGTGAAATTCTTCATACAAGTAGCAATATGTTACGGTAATGAGAACTTAGCAGCATGTTAATATTTACATAACAAAGGACGTTTCCATCCTAAAATGTGTTTAATTCAAGTAAAGTAGGGATAAGTGAAATAATGTTCATGATATGTTTTTATATTAAGCTACGTCAGTGCTCCCTGAGTGCAGTACAGCTGATAAACTGTTCTGCTCAGAGCTGGACCCAGGTTCCTGGAAAAAAAAAAAAAGGGAAAATTAAATGTGAATTAATTGCAATTTCTTACAGTACTGCCATTACGTCAATTTGTATCTGAACTGTGAGTAAAAGCCACAGTACTTTGACTCAGGTTTTCAACTTGTTATCAACAGATACTACATGGATCATTAGAGCATGCTGGGAGAAATATGAATCCAGACTACAAACCTTTTGAGCTTCCCATATCTGATGGAGGAGAGGAGCTTCTCTTTATCAGCTTCACCTGCACATCGCTCATAGGCTGTCAGAAGACTGAGATTAAGAGAGGAAGAAAGATTTGAATTAAATATCAACAATGTCTTACAGTGGCGCAATGTCTTGTACTCATTAATATAAGTGAGTTTGCATAAAAATGTATGTATACCCTCATGTTTCAACCTTGTTTTTAATTACCCAAAGTCAGAAATGTCTCGTTTATTTCATGAGTTTCTGAACTCAACTTACCTGTCCCATTTTGTCTATTGCATTATTTTATTGGGTTTCATATGTCTAACTCTTTCATGCTAGGTATATTGTTTGTTGCACTGTTGGAGGAGGAGCATGAGACTTAAGATTACAATGTAGTTTTGCGATATGAAAAATAAAGCCTTTGAAACCTTGAAATGTAATGTTTTAATAATAATAATAATACATTTTATTTATATAGACGTCTTTCAAGGCTCTCAAGGTCACCGTACAAGATACACAAAACAAAAAACCAGGAGAACAACAAGACAATATAATAAATAAGGACAGAAGATGCGTCATGTGATCAGGGGTGTGAAGAGACGTGATTTGAGACGTGATTTGAAAATGGAGAGAAAGTCAGAAACTCAAAATCGATATGGTATTTGACGGGCAGCAGGTGAAGTTTTGCATCCATGATATCCATCTCTGCTAGTGCTAACTGCCTCATTCTTTGTATACGTTATCTAAAAACACCTTTGTTGCTGCTGCAGGAAATCCTGAGTACATTGCCAGGGAAAGAAAGGTAGGAATACTTGGAGAAAAGGTGAGATGTGTGAACATACTGTATAATAATAATGTGTGTTACCTGAGTGGGGTGCTGTAGAGCTCCAGTATAGCAGCTGCTTTGTCTCCTGACAGTCCGCTCACCTGCATCAGCTGCCGGGCAAACACTTCTTTCACCGTCTGACACTGAGAGGGAGAAGAGGGAAACAGGGATTTATTAAAATAGATTATGAACCGATGAGCTGATAACCAGTTCTATCACCAAAAGAAAAAAGTCGCTTGGTCTAATTAGCAAAATATTGTAATTTCTTGTTTGTTTGACTGTTATTACACCCGCAGGATTGACACCTCACTATGTCAAGTATGCCTCTGTGACGAAACATCCCTTCTGTCAGATACTGTTCCCTTATTGCTAATGTCTACTACTCCCTGTAACTGCAAGTATATTCCATTGTAACTGGTGAAATGTTCTCAACTGTCTTCTGCATAAAGAATTGACACACACACACACACACACACACACACACACACACACACACACACACACACACACACACACACACACACACACACACACACACACCTTGTTTTTGATTGCACCGTGGTTGAACTCTGCAAAAGAGATAAGAGAGCAGGGGGGGGTCCCTCTCTCCTCTTCCTCCTCATCCTCTCTCTCCCCCTCCAGCTCTCTGGAGCGACACGTCAGCGTACAGTTCTGGAAAACAGATTTAAAAGTTTATCATAACTATTCCAATTGTTTTGGGGCCGACTTAGACCCCTATAATACATAATATACTCATTCTTTAAGGCTTCAAAAGGCTACACAAACATGTCTAAATGATTGAAGTTGAGGCAAAACCCTACAGTAATTGTTCAAATTATAAAAATGTATTCATCTACAGGGGTTAAAAACATATCCATTTATTGCTTTTATAAAATATTTATTTAAACTTTTACCTGGTAGAGTTTATTCAGGTATCGAGTCATGACAGTGAGGTAGGCCATCGACTCCCTCACATCCTGGACTCTCTTCACAAAGAAGCGATCAACAACCTGACACACACACACACACAAACACATATACAAAAGACAACATGTATACATCAGAGACTCAAACAAATCTTGTTTTGTGATTAATGCAGTGCACATTAAGACCCCATTTACACGCAAACGCATACGAAACACAAACCAACCGAATACGATATCAAAAAGGTCTTCCGTTCACACGAGACCGCTCGGGAGCGCTGGAGACGCTGTAGTGCATATGCCGGGCCTGTAAGTGGCGCTGTACTTTCTGCCACAAAATACACCAAAAGCAGCGAAGAAGACCCCCGAGCATGGTTGCCATGGTTACCCTTCTGTTTATGCCCCGCGGTGGATTTAGCAACATGTAGTTCATGTAATTCTCCATGTCCACTTGTTGCTGATGGTTGTGGTAGAGGAGCTGTAGATTTTGCACTAACATCTGTAGCATGGTCAGTAGCAGTAGCAGTAGCATGGTCAGTAGCTACTGACAGTAGCTACTGACCATGCTACAGCAGTGAGCAGCAGAGGTGGGGAGAGGTATAGGGCGTACACACTGAGCCGTTTGACCCCCCCAGAGCGTTCCGGTTGCAGATCTACCCACCTTGGGACCCGTTATCGTTTGCGGGGTCCGTTTCCGCGGTTCCGTTACGGCCTCGTGTGAACGAACGGGCTATACGCAAGAGAAAAGTAGCGGATACAACCGTTTGCGTTCTTGTGTAAACAGCACCTAAACCACCATGCAGGTGTATGTTTTCTCACCTGTGTGTTGATGATGGCCTGCTGCAGCGTGGTCTCAGGTAAACTCAGGTGAGAGGCAGCCTTCCCACACTCCTCCACCAGGTAGCAGGGGTTACGCAGACCACAGCGCTTCAGACGGAACTGATGAGGAGGAAAGTAAAGGGACGAAGAGATTAAGGTACATTCTTGGGTTGTGCACAGTAACACACATAACAAAACACACCTTAAATAATTTGATTAACAGCATCGTAAAAGATGGAAAAACAATTTTTTTTATCAAAAGATACGGAGAGTAAAAGCAAAGAAACTCATTACAGAAGATTGAACAACTTTGATATGTGATAAAATGTTCAAATGAATCATCAAGTGCAAATTAAACTTAACAAGATGCACACTATGTACCTACTTTTGGACATGCACTTGAAGACAGACATTTATATACATTTTAAGTATCCATATCTATTCATATATGTATGTTAACAGTTCCACCGAATTATTTTATTGTTATTTTGATATATTTCGCGTTTCACTCGTATACCTGCTGCTGCTTAACCGATAGAATAACCCTATGGGGATTAATAAAGGGTTATCTAATCTTAAATATGATAATCTTCTGGCATTTCTACATAATATCCAAATATCTTTGGGTTATTGACCATTTGGCAAAACAAGCCATTTCAAGTCAGCATGCAGGGCTCTGGTTAACGGAGTACATGACTAATAATTTGATGGAGTGACTCAAAGATAAATGGGTTGACGAAGATGTCATTTTCTTCACCTTCTGTTCCCTGAAGCGCCCGTCGATGATGCTGCCGCACAGGTCGTCCATCCTCTTTCTCTCGATGATGTAATCCAGGACGAGCTCACGGCCAACGGGGGTCCGCAACTGACCTGGAGTCAGAGAAAAACTAAATGATTACGAGTTGGAATTTATAAAAAAATGGGGGACATTGCAGAAGAGGTGGACGGTTAAAGTGAAATGACTAAACTACGGTGAGGAAATGTTGAATACGGTTCATCTATTTGGAGAATTGTAAGCTCTGGTTGTGGATGTGCTTTTGCTGTATTTCTGTTGAATTTGTTAATTTGCAAATGTAATGATATTCTTGGTCTGTACTTTACACTGATTTCTACTAACTGCACACTTTTTATTTTAGCATTATTTTGTAATCTGCCGTATGTCTAATGTTCGGTTGTGTTTGTGTAATGTGATAAATGTAAAAAATCAATGAATACATGTTTACAAATTGATTGGCTGAAACACCAAACAGATCATTGCAGCGTCCCATAATCCCCTCTGTTTCAGCCCTGTTTCAAAAGTGCTGATTCTCTGTCTGTTACTTTAGATGAAAATAAGGAGCCCCTCCCCACGCCCCTCTGGTATTTGGTTAAAAAGAACACAATGGTGCTCTAGGAGGAGATTCAGGTGATAGGGGGGGGGGGGGGGGGAGGGGGGGGGGGGAGGGGGGGGGGGGGGGGGTACCTTGGTTGGTGATTGGCTAATGGTTACACAAGCCAATACATCGTTATGACATCATTAAGTGGCCAAAATCTGATCAGCTCATTTTCAGACAGGTTTTTATATAAATGGATCAGGACAAAAAGAGAGAGAATCTTTGTTCCTGAAACTTTCAGAGTCTCTTTCCACAGAGGGGACACATGTTGATGTAGAAGAGACATGAAGAAGAGGGGACACATGTTGATGTAGAAGAGACATGGGGAAGAGGGGACACATGTTGATGTAGAAGAGACATGAAGAAGAGGGGACACATGTTGATGTAGAAGAGACATGGGGAAGAGGGGACACATGTTGATGTAGAAGAGACATGAAGAAGAGGGGACACATGTTGATGTAGAAGAGACATGAAGAAGAGGGGACACATGTTGATGAAGAAGAGACATGAAGAAGAGGGGACACATGTTGATGTAGAAGATCCATACAAAGACAGCTCAGCAGCTTTCCAGCGTTGGGGGAGCAGTTTGACGCTCTGAAGGCCGAGGAACGTGTTGTGAAGCGCAAATGTGCCTACCTTGAAAAAGTAGGGAGGGTTCTTAGTGAGAAGATCGAAAATAACGTTACCGTAGAGGCGATGTTCCAGGGACTAATCCAGACAAACAAGGAATTGGAGCGTGAACGACAGATCCTCGAGGGACAGATGTTTGACAAGCTAGATGAGCTGGATAGCATCGATGCTATCAAAGCTGAGCATGAAGCTGCACTATGTGTACAGAGAGAGCTCGAAGCACAGATTGAAGAGGTGCATTCATCAATCCAAAGCTATTCTGCTGCAGAGGAAGCACTCGATGCATTGAGAAGTGACGCAGAGGAAATCATCAGAGTAAATGGTGGCCTTGAGGAAGAACTTGAGTGTCTCAAGCAAAGGAAAGAGCAACTTCAGGATTGTTTCCAAGTGTCTAAGGCAGAGATGGAGACGGTTTTCCAGAAGAACCAGGCTCTGCAGCAGGAAGTGGATCTCTGCAGGGAGCTTGAAAATGAAAGCACGGTGCAGTTTGAGATAGACGAAATGAACCAGTCGAAATATGAGGAAAGGAGCCAAACTGAAGACTTGCAAGAAGAGATCTTTGAGCTTTCAAAGAGGCTTCTGGGTTTAGAGGATCTTCAGGAGTCATACGACATTGTGAAGGAAGAAAAAGAGTTGATTTTCCAGCGAAATCAATTGTTGCAACAAAAGAAACACGAGTTGTGCCAAGAACTTCAGAATGAGGACACCATTAGGGAAAGTTACAGCGCAATGGTGACAGAAAAAGCCGCCATGAGTCTCGAACATGTCTCCCTGCGAGAAGAAGTTTTGCAGCTCAAGGAAAGGCATCTGCTTTTCATGAAGCTCGAGGACTCTTACAAGGAGGCGAAAGCTGAGAGAGAGGACGTTATGAGGAAGAATGTGAAGAACGTCACCATTGACAATGACTTCCTTGAACACATGAAAACGGTTCAGGAGAATCAAGCTCAGCAGGCCAGGAGATAAAAGCCACTAATTTATCTGCGGGTTAATTCGTCAAAAGCATAAATAAATAAACAAATGTTTTTATTTAATTTAAATTTCTATGTTGGTTTGTTTCTCTTTAATCATGCAGTGTCAAATGTTGTCTTTAAAAATGTCAAAAACCTAACCCTAAACCTAACTCTAAACCTAAACCTAACCCTTATAATCTTCATACTCCTTGACTTTTTTCTGATAGTTTCTTCTACAAATGATTTTCGGTGAGAAAAACAATAAAAACTAAAATAAGTAATAACTTAAGTCTATTGGTGTATCTTGTATTGGCATATAATACCATACTGCACATACTCAACTCATATTAGGTATTAAAGCACATGTGTCAAACTCAAGGCCCGTGGTGGATTTAATTTCGGCCCGCAGGATAATTTCTAATGACTATTAGATCTGGCCCGCCGGTATATTGCACACACACCTTCACTCAATCCTGAGGGTTTCCTCAGCTCAGAGCCTGAGCCCAAACATTGATGAACTTGCACCCAAGATGAGATGCCAAGTATCTGAACTAGCATCACAGAGCAGCACACTGAGTTTCAATGGATGTTTCCTTCTGCACTTTTTCTCTCACGACAACAGGGCATGTTTGTTTTCTCTTGAGGGAAATAGTTTTTTTGAAGCTGTTGTTGGCCTGTGGAAAAATGTAATCATAAGAAATGACTCGGGAAAAGCTGCAGATAGAGCCATAAGAAATGAATGCAACTGATTATTTAATGTTTAATGTTGTTTTTATAGGCAATAATTTAAGCTTTGTTAGTTCCAGGTTTAATATGTGCAATAAGTTCATTTCAATAAGTTTTGCAATAAACATTGAACCAGTCCGGCCTTCGACTAGTACCCATTTTTTTATTTTGGCCCACTTTGTATTTGAGTTTGACACCCCTTGTAGTGGCATCCAAGGTTTCCTTTTGCCACTATAGAGCGGGGTTGACGACACACAATCCAAAGCAATAAGCAGCCGAAGGTTTTCAGTCAAAAAATGTAATTTATTAACAAAAAAGTATTGACTTAAATAGTCTCAAAATAACAAATCTAAATCAATATTTCGGCGATATACTTTCTTATATAAACTATACTTTGCAGTCCAATTTGCAACACTAATTTCGGTTTACAATTTGTGGTCGAAAAACTGTTCCGCTCCCCGTCTCATCAGGTCTCAGAGCACCGCGGCTGTCTTCAATTGCCTCACTTAAAGTGGACCTATCATGCTATATTATAATAATATAGTGTAGGACCATACCTATATAAGGCATATTTATACTTTTTTTTTTTCAAAATACCAAACAGATCATGCATTTTAGACATGCCTCATTTTGCTCAATTTGACATTTTTTAGCTCTGTGTTTGCAAGGGCAGATTCTGTGAGAACAGCACCACCTACAGGCCTGGCATATGTACTACAGCGTCTCCAGCGCTTTCGAACGGCAATGCCGTGGTTGTCTCCTCCTGATTGGTGGAGTTGGCCCAATAGCCGTAGCGCCACCGTCCTGACGTCAGGACAGTGTTCAAATCTGGATCAGTTTTTATCAGATCCGTTGCAGCCCCTTTTTTAGAGATTTGGGTACGGAGGAAAATAGAGAGGGTTGTGTTTTCTGACACTTGGTGAGTTCCCTGGAACACCGGGGACACATATTCATGTATAAAAGACGTACCAAAGTGCATTTTGCATGATAGGTCCCCTTTAAATAAACACCGGAAGGTACAAGGAAACAGATCATAATTACGATTTTAAATGATTAATCATTTCATCAAAAGATATTCACCATGGCAATATAAATCATTTTCCATCATTAATTCATTTATCAAATTATGAATCTAAATAATAACTTTGACTTCATTGTGGCTCTAACACCCCTGCTTTAAAGAGTTCATTATTCTGTGTCATAATAATGCTTCGTGGTCATTTGAGAGCGTCTTTCCGTGTTAAACTGTTACAGCCCACATGCTCCAATACTTCAACATATTGGTGTTTAATAAGGTCAAAAGAAACGTATATAAAGGAGGTAAAAGACTGACAGTTATGCACCAGAAAATCTCGATTAGTGCCGTCGTCATTTTAAGTTAAGTTGCTACGCCATAAACACACAATTATATCTTAGCGAAAGCAAAACGATCATTTTCAAATATATGAAATCATTTTTAAAATAATTAGTTATGTCAAATCCTCAATTGATTTGGTTATCAGCCGTGTAATAAGCGGGTTTAAAGGCAGCTAGCCCGTCTTTAGCTATAACAACACATGAGAAAACAGAAGCGTTGTTATGTTGTGTCGTAACAAATACTCCACTTACCACAGTGAAGGACTTATCGCAGAGTTGCTGAGCTTCTGCTTGGAGCTCCATCTTAAACATGTAGCCTTTGCTGCCTGGGATCTGGAGAGAGAGAGACATCACATGAAGCCACGATGCAAAACATGGAGGTATTTTATGTAGATGTGATGGAGGAAGGCGTACCTGAGACACTCTGTACAGTGTGAGCAGAACAGCGTAACCTCCAGACCGTCTCTGGGGAATGTACTCCCTCTTCTTCCTCCCTCCTCCTTTGTTTTTCCCTTGATCCCCGGCTGCATTCTTCTACAAGGAAAGTTATACAAAAGAAGTCACAAATAAGAGGTTTTCAATGTGACACACACACACACACACACACACACACACGCACGCACACACACACACACACACACACACACACACACACACACACCACACACACACACACACACACACACACACACACACACACACACACACACCTTTCTGGATGGATCCAGGCTGTTGTTGTCCTGTCGGCCAGCAGGGGGCGCTCCTTCAGGGAGAGAGTGGATCGGAGCATCTGGACCTACAGGAAAAGTGTGATACATTTTATTGCAGCTTGAAGTAAGTGAGTATTTGTTTCCTAGCTTTGCCTTTGGGTATAACTCCTAGTACTGCAGATAACTTTTTTTTAAAGCTACCCATGTATTCTCTTTTAGCTTTTTGATATGTTCTTATATTTTTCTACATCAGGCTTTTCTTGGTGTATTGTTTGTAGTTTTTCTAATGTATGTTTTTTATATTTGTTGAGACTCCCACTCTTAAATAGTTCCCAATTATCACTAGTTTCCCCCTCTTGTATTTACACCCCTCTCACAATGCAGGCATCAATGTATTTCTTTAATGATCTTGTATTGTAAGTGAATGAATGTAATCCTGAACCCCCCCACTCCTCTGTTCCTCACCGTTCTCTCTGAGATATCGCTGCAGTTTCTGATCCAGTATTTTACAGATGCCGTCTCCAAAGCTCTGCAGGATTTTGGCCTCTTTGGCGTTTTGAAGCGGCAATGGATACTTGTTCAAAGAGCTGATGGCCTGCAGAACAAGACAGAAGCAAACGTGAATTACAAACAAACAAACATCAGTGACTTTAAAGCAGTAACTGTACATCTGTTGTGTACACTTTCTCTTGTACCTGGGGTTGCTTTTATACAGGCTGCACAAACAGCCGACTGAAAGACAAAGTGTGCAAGCAGAAAATATAATGTGTGTTATCCTGTGACTTTAACAAGACTGCTTTTATAGTTAAAAGACTAGAAAGAAACTTAATGAACAACATATGCAAACCACAGCTCATTATATGAAAAACTGGTGTTTTTAGAAATGTAATTTATTACTATTTTCATGTTTTTTCAAGGTTGTGAAGGATTTGCCATATAAGTGCATGACTTCTTTGTTATATGAAGATCTGTTTCTTCTTTCCATATGTGTGTACATAATAGGGATGGGAATTTGAAAGCAAATGTATATTCGAATATTCGACCCCCAAAAAAACGGTTAACCGATTAACCGAAATGTACATATCCTATAAAAAAAATAAAATGTGGGAAAATATTTACTAAGAAAAATTTAATTTTGAAAAATAAATAAATACATGTTCAAATAAGTATAGAAACGAAGTCGAATTTGTCAAATGTATTGAACTGGTGATCACAGTTTGAACAGTTGACAGCTATAGGCCTACAGCTTTCAGGATCATACACGAACAACATAACGGGTTAGGGTAACGTAACCCTATTACAACAGAGATCACCAACCTATAACAGGGCCTATGCACAGAATGCAGCTATTCAATACTCATTCTTGTTTAAGAATATGAGCATGTCTACATGCTCAGGGGAGAGGCGGGTGAGGAGGCGATTCACAATCAGGCCAGCTGTAGAGAAGACCCTCTCATCTGGAATTTGGGCATAAGATGAGGTTTGAGTCTGCGTGATCTGCGTGTAGGGAGGGGCAGCAGCCATATCGTTAGCTAGAACTAGCTAGATCTGATGGATTTGGACATAAACGCGAATGAAGTATAACCGGACGCGAGAGAGAGAGATCAGCACCTGCAGCTCTGCCCGCTGTGAGGGACCGGTGAGCGGAGCAAAACACACCTTTAGACCTAACACACTTAGCTATGGCACTGTCGTATACATTGAATTATTCCATTTGATCATATGTAATCAACTTAGGCACCCCTCCCAAAAAAAAAAAAGTAATTACAATAAAAATATTCATAACTCATATTCTCATACTCGAATACCTGAATAATTTCGAATATTCGATTAATCGTTCCCAACTGTACCCTGTGTCCTTTTGTGTCCTTCTGTAGTCCATTTACTGTTGTTTGTCTCGTCTTACCCCGGCTGATATCTCACTAAATCCAGTGTTTTAATTGTTCCCTATATTGCCCCTATGCCCTGTAAGGTGTCCTTGGGTGTTATGAAAGGCGGCCCCCCAAAATAAATGTATTATTATTATTAAGAAGAACAACTTGGTGTGGTTTCTATTCTCCTAAAAAAATGTTACGTTCTCCAACAGAAAACACAACTCAGCGTACTTTTAAGAAATTGATCTTAATAGGCTTGTCCCCTTATAAGGCAGAAATATGTTTTGAGGCTCTGGACAAAAATGGCTATTTTGATTGTAAAGGTTGCCAACCCCTGGGTGTAGTTTCAATGTTTGCACATGTGTATTCAAGTGTATGAGTGATATAGAGCAAGTGAGATGGCCAGTGGTTCTCAAACTTTTTACACAGAGTACCACCTCAAATGATATTGGGCTCTCCTAGTAACACCATCATAGACCTTCCTGGGTACCACCGAGATAAAGGATTTAATATGACAAGCCATATGATGCTCTCATTTGTTAGTGACATTCCACATGCAAATAAGATAAGATAAGATAAGATGGTACTTTATTGATCCCAATTTGGGAACACATTTTTAGTTACAGCAGCATAAGGGACACGGCATTTTACAATAAATTAGAAATAAGCAAGAAAAATAAAGAAAATAAAGAAAGAGGAAAATAATATACATGTTGAGTTTGGCAGGATATTATATATATCTAATATACATATACATAAATATAAGGCATATGGAATATTAATGTTAAAGGTGGGGTAGGTAATTTTGGAGAAACCAGCTAGAGATCGCTAGAATTTGAAAATACACAGCCGGAAAAAATCTGCCACTTCCTTACAGAGCCCCTCCTCCAACACACACGAACGCGCACATGACCAATGAGGGCACGAGATAAGTTTGTGCACAGATGGAAGGCTGACAGGCAGGTAGGCCATCCAGTTATTTTAGCCGGGCCGGCTAAAATGATTGGTCGTACTTTTTACAGTACTACAGCTTCCACAGATGATATTTATTTATGGATTTTTTGTCAAAGCACTTCAGATATTCATTGCTATCGGGATGTTAAGAGCATTCCATGGAATATAACAAAAAGTGTATCTCGAGCCGGTTTCTCAAACTTACCTACCCCACCTTTAAATATTGAACAGATTATATATGTGTAAAATGTACAACGTGGTTATATTCAAGATAAACTATGGAGCAGAGAGTTATCTTCCAGCCAGAGGTGATTTGTTGTACAGAGTTATGGCGCTGCGGAGCTGCAGCAGTCTGTTGGAGAAGGAGCTCCGTTGACTGTCCAGCTGCAGGTGGAGAGGATGGATGGGGTTATCCATGATGGACAACAGCCTGTTCAGTGTCCTCCTCTCCACCACAGCTTCAAAGGGGTCCAGCTTGATGCCGATGACTGACCCAGCTTTCCTGATCAGTTTATTGATCCTGCTGGTGTCACCGGCTCTGATGCTGCCCCCCCAGCAGACCGCAGCAAAGAAGAGTGCACTAGCCACAACAGACCGGTAGAAGATCTCCAGCATCTTGCTGCACACGTGGAAGGATCTCAGCTTCCTCAGAAAATAGAGTCTGCCCCTTCTTGTGCACAGCGTCAGTGTTGATCCTCCAGTTCAGCCCATTGTCTAAGTGCACTCCCAGGTATTTGTAGTCCTCCACAACTGCCACATCCTCTCCCAGAATGCACAGGGGTAGAGGAGGAGACGTCCTCACCCTCCTGAAATCAATGACCATCTCTCTGGTCTTGGCCACATTCAGAATACTCACAACATTAGGCTGAGGTTCATCTTCCGCTCTTCTTGAAGTGGTTGTGCTTCTTGTTGCTTCCGGCTAAAATAAACATAATTAAAGACATTTTGAGTGTTTAAAATGTGCTGTAATACACAACACATTATTTATTCCTAAACTTGCAGAAAGAAAAACTAAAGTGTGACATTTAATCACATATCAATCTTATACACCTTGAATTCTTGTTGGCCAATGATACACATACCCTTTGAAGATGAGCTGGGAAGTTGAATACTGTTGGCACAACACCATCTTTAAGCCGGACAGTCTGCCCCGTCCTGTCAAAGTCCTCACAACTGAAGTGCTCACTGCAGAGCAGTGTCCTGCCTTCTTAGGGCAGCTTCCCACTGCCTCCTCCTCTCTCCGGTTTTGGGAAACCTTAAAAACATGAGAAAGGTAGCCAGATATATCAATTATTGTCAACATTTTCCTCCCTTCTTTCCTTTAACATTAAGGGTAAGGACAAAAATACACACCGAAATTATCATATTTTTGGGGTAATTGTATGTATGCATGTATACTTTAAGAATAAGACAACCACACTAAGAGTTATAAAAAAGGTGTCCAAAAGAAACATTAAACAATTGTGTAAAGAAATGGTAGCAACATATTCTAAAGAGGCTGGGTCAACAACAATCTTGCAATACTATTATCTCACATAGCCCCACTGATCCTGTGTAGCAGAACTTGTAATGTACATACATCCACTACGTAATTAACGATTATCCTAATTATAGTCATAATATTGTCATATCTTACACGTGAAAGGTGATTCCACGGGTTCTTGTTTCCAGACTGCGGCGATTAGAGCATCCGTAGGCTGCACAAAAGTCCGGCATAGTCAGGTACTTCTGTAAACACAAAGCCAGCAATTTCCTGTATCATAATGTATCTAAATGTAAGATGTTTTTAACAAGCCAAACCACTTGGAAGAAATCATGTGTAACTTAAGTTATGTTGAAAAGAAAGAGCAGTTCTGCCTCTCCCACTGGTGTAAAGTTGCTGGGTCAACTTTGTAATACTAGGGGTGTTTCTCAATCGCGAGTACGCTTGCTTGGTAGCACATGTCTGCCGAGCATCTTGCTTCAGAAGCGAGTCAAGAATACTTCCTGGCATTCGGAAAACGAAGTGTGGAACACGCTAGCAAGTGTGCAGGTGTGCGTCATATGAGAGGCCCCGCCTTACATCTTCCGCCACAGATTTGGGGAAATTGGTCCGTGCGCAAAGCATTGTGGGGATTTTAAGACCGCGAAGTCTACTCATGTGCAGACTCGATATTTCTCCAAACGGAGTACGCCGGGCTCGGTAGATTTCCAAGTATACTGGAGATTGGAACAGTACTTCGGCGGCACTCGATGACGTAGTATGCTTGAAATAGTGGCTCTGAAGCAGCTTTACTCGCGATTGAGAAACACCCCAAGTCTCACTCACAGCCTCTTGTTATTAGCCAGCTAATAAATACAACCACACATACACAAAGAAAAGCTGCTATTTCAACATGTCCAAGCATCCTGTATCATAGCCATGCTAATAATGTTTCTAATAAACCAAACCGTTTGTAAATCAGTCAAGATTTCAGCGAGTTAAGAGTATTTTTGTGCAGATCACTCACCTTACAACAGCTACCATAGCGCGTACCAGAGTAGCTGTTGACTGTAGCAAGATGGCGGCCAGTGAGCTACGCTGGAAAATCTCCCATGAGCCATCTAGTGTTTATGGGTGTTTCTCAATCGCGAGTACGCTTGCTTGGTAGCACATGTCTGCCGAGCATCTTGCTTCAGAAGCGAGTCAAGAATACTTCCTGGCATTCGGAAAACGAAGTGTGGAACACGCTAGCAAGTGTGCAGGTGTGCGTCATATGAGAGGCCCCGCCTTACATCTTCCGCCACAGATTTGGGGAAATTGGTCCGTGCGCAAAGCATTGTGGGGATTTTAAGACCGCGAAGTCTGCGAGTGTGCAGACTC